GGGGGTGGGGGTGGGGGTGGGGGGGCAAGCCTCTAGTCCCCGCCTCTCAGCGGCATATCCGGCTGCTTCCCTTCCACCTCCTGACCACCATCGCAGGGCTTGACAGTCTCGGTTCCCTTTTCTTCGCCTGGATTACATTTGCAAAAGGAGCCCAGGACACCGGTGGCCACGGAAAGGAAGGCGCGGGCGAAGCAGACGAGCACGGCACCTCGAGGCCGCCCTCCAGCCGGGGCCACGCGACCACGGAGTGCGGAAGTGCGGACCAAGCGGCCCCAGGAGCACCGTGTACTCGGGCCGGGACCCGCGAGGCTGCGCCCCGACTGGCTGGCGGGATGGCAATCGTGCTGGCCCTGAGGGTGGTTGCGGGGCTGGCGGCCGCGGCGCTGGCTGCTTTGCTCTTGGAGTATTACGGGCTGGCCGCCCTCCCCTCGCCGCTGCCCCAGCCCGGCCACCTCCAGAGACCTCACCCCGCGCCGGGCCCCGGAGACAACATCTTCTGGGGCCTGCAGGTGACGCGCGGAAGCCTGGTTGGGCTGTGGGTACTGGGGTAAAGCGCTGAGCGAGATCCTGGCTGCTCCCACGGGCCGCCACCTGCCCCTGGGTGGTGTCTGGGTGGACTTGTAAGTCTTAGGTCAGCCTACTACTGGCCTCGGCTTGGACCTTCCCCGGGCAGGGCGAGATTCCTTGGGGCGCTGTGTCTTTGCCTTTTCCTTCCACCCGAGGGAGAGCCGCTGGGCCGTCAGTGTCTGTGCTGCCTCTTCGTGACTCATTTATCTCTGTTCAATACCTGCTTTTGGCAGATATCCGACATTCACCTGAGCAGGTTTCGCGATCCAGGCAGAGCCATAGACTTAGAGAAGTTCTGTTCTGAAACTATTGACATCATTCAACCAGCTCTCGTCCTAGCAACAGGTAGGGAAGATTGACGTGCTGTGGTGGTGTTCTGTGGTCTGGATGGTAGAATCCTAGCCAGGACTGCAGCCTTTCATATTGGAATCGTTGAGAACACTATAGCCACGCCATCTGAGCCCTGTAAAGTAGAGGAGATCGGACTTTGTAATTTCTTTCCCGGACGGATTAGGGAGCCGAGATCCAGTCCAAATGCTTTGCCATTGCAAGGTTTTCTCAGGGCACTAGAAGCAAAGCTTGTGATGCTCATGTCAGTGTGTTGTCTGCTTATATTTGTGTCTGATTTTTTTGGTCGTTGTTGCCGTTCTGAATTTAAGAGAGAATTAGAGAAAGCTTTAACCTGGACTCAAAATGTTTTGTTAACTTTGTCATTCAGTTGCTTAGGTTTTCAAATGACTCAGGGCACTTTTTGTTCATTTTTTGATATTTTTGTGACTTGGATTCCTGGTCTCTTCAAAACTTGTTCATGTGCCCCTCAAGTGTGGTGGAGAGAACTCTCCGACACTCTATTGAAGCCTTTCTGGTGCTGTGATGGGATATCAGTCCTTAGTTAATGGATGAGTCCATATTTAAAGGGTTCTGTTTAGTTTCCTAGAAATTTTGATATTTCATTGTTTAAACTTTTCAGATTGCTTCTTGCTGTAAAAATAGCTCTTGGTAGCCGGGGATTTAGCTCAGTGGTGCCGACACCTGCCCCACAAGCGCAAGGACCCAAGTTCGACCCCCGGTACAAAAAAAAAAAGCTCATGGTTAGATTATATATCCTGATTTGAGGATTGGGAATATGGTTGTAATAGATATTAGACCGCTGCCAGAGTATTGGGATTTTTATGGATTTTCTTTTTGTCAGTCTGTTGATGCATTTTGTACTGCCCTCTTTAAGGATAACATATTTTTCTACATTCAAAGGTTAAATAGGGACTTGTTAACATGATAATGCCCTTGCTGAGACAATTATTAGTTTAGATGGCTTACTTTGGACATAAATGGACTCATAAGTGATTGTATTTGTACATGCTGAGTAGTTTTACTGAGTATCTTTGTTCCTTCAGTGTGCATTTTTAAAAGTTTTGAACTCCCTGGAGTTTATTTTACATTGTGATTCAACTGTTATGCAAACCTACAGGAGACCTGACAGATGCCAAAACAAAGGAACAGTTGGGATCCAGGCAGCATGAGGTAGAATGGCAAACTTACCATGGTATTCTGAAGAAGACAAGGGTCATGGAAAAAACCAAGTGGCTGGATATCAAAGGAAATCATGGTAAGAGCAAATACCCAGATATAATGAAGACCAGAGCTTTTTTTCCTTCAGGGACACAGATTCTTCAATTTAAATTGTTCAATTATAAAATGGGAAATTGTAGCATAAGTTTGGACATAGTGAAGGCCACAACTCTCATAGTGTACCGCTATAGTATGTGATTTTAAAACTTCAGATGTCACTATTAGCCTTTGCAATGAAAGTTGGTATGGTATTTTCTTCTACCAAAACTCATGTAGGCAAATGTTTTTTAAAACCTACATTTTGTTAAGTGGAAGAAGCTAAAGCCATAAGTCTTCATACTGTATGATTCTATTTATAGACGTTCTAGAAGTGGCAAAACTGTAGCTAGAGAATAGGTTAGAGTTACCAGGAGTAGGAATGGAGGTGGAGACTGACTCCAAGAAGGCATCATGAGTGTATCTCGTGATGAAACTATCCTGTAGTTTGATTGTGGTCTTGAAAACATGACTGTGTATTTGTCAAAATCCATAGAACTGCACATCACAAAGAATTAATTTTATTGTATGAATTTTTAAAAATTTAAATAGCACACAAATCCCCATAGACAAGGGCAGAAAAATGGGTAATTCCTTCCCTTTTTTGGATTATAATTGTTGTGTTAGTAAGGAAAGGAGCATTTCTCCAAAAGGGTCCTGGTAGTAGATTTGTTTTTATATAGATTGGCTTTCTTGTTTATTTGATTATTCATTGCTAATGTCTATGTATCTGTGTATCTGTATTTTTTGAGGTTAGGAAAGTTTTTTTTGGAAATAAGGAGGAGAATAGCTCCTGGATTTCCAGGAGGGATCCAGAATGGGGTGGGCCACCAATTTATATTTTTTAAATGATTATGATTTTAAACAGAAAACTGGCTCAAGAAATACGTAGCAATTAGTTTGATAAAACAAAAACAGAAAATGCCTTGGTAATAAATACTTTTTATAAAGCAATTAGTCATTAAAAATTAAACATCAGAGATGTTTCCCTTTCTTCCTGATCCTAATTAGAGTTATAGGTGAAATTCTTTTGCAATAAATAGTAAATCTGTATATACTTTAAAAAGATTTCCAGGGGCCAGGGATTTAGCTCAGTGGTTTCGTTGCCTGCCGCGCAAGCGCAAGGACCCGAGTTCAATCCCTGGTACCAAAAAAAAAAAAAAAAAAAAAGATTTCCAAACCAAGCTAGTGACTTCTTCATTTAATGTAATAAATACCAAAGAAAATTCTTAGGATTAAATAATTTGGGTAGCCCTTTAAAGTACATAATAATGTAATTTGACTTGTACAGGCATAAATCCTTATGGTATGAGTATATATATTGATTGATTGATTGATTGATTGATACTGGGGATCAAACTCGGGTCCTTGCACTTGCGAGGCAGGTGGTGGAACCAATGAGCTAAATCCCTGGCCCTATATATATTTTTTTAAACAAGTTTTATTAAGATAGGGAAGGAAGCTAGTTTTTATTAAGATTCAATTATAACAGAGTTGGTCTCTTACTTAACAAAAGGATTATATTCATATTAATATTTCTTTTGGCCTAACTTGGGCTTACAGTTTATTCTAAAGTTATTAGAAATACAGTGGATTGCTAGAAGTCAAAGGTGATAAGCAGTTTTAGTTATTGCCACCAGGCAGTGCAGTTCTGTGTAGTCATTGTTTTTCCAAATAAGTATTCTATGATATTCTAAACCTTATTATTTTATAACTCATTTTCCACTGGATCTTTTACAAGATTTAAAAGGAGAGGGTCTTTGTCCCTGAGATCAAAGTGATCTGCTGTTTAGAAGCCCTTGGCACAGATTTATGAAACAGGCATGAATTCACTTCTTTTTGGTTTCTAGGATTAGATGACTGAAACAGCAGCAGCAGTTCAGTCTTATAACTTCAACTTAATTTGTTCTGAATAAAATGTAAAAGTTCCTGTTATTTTCCAGTGTACAGGGTGCCTTAAAGCTTCCAGATAATCTGAGTTCTGTTAAATTATCAAATTTTTAAAATTACCAATCTAATTGAATGGCATTTTACTGTTTTAAGTGTTATAGAAAAATCGTTTCCATTTTTCTTTTTTGTGTAGATGAATGTTTGCTCTTTTTTCTTTTTAATTAGATGCATACAACATTCCAAGTCTGGAGAGCGTCAAGAATTATTACAGGTACGAAAATGAACAGAAGACAGACCACTAAGTAGAGCCTGTTCCAAGGAGGGTACAGTCAATTCACTGAATGAGTGAGAACATTTTTTAACAAACAAAATCTCTGTTAAAGAACCTTTGGTAATTTTGCAAAGGAAGCTTTCTTTTTTGTGTGTGACAAATTCTGTTCTTTGTGTTTGTTTGAACATTTTCTTTCTTTTATTTTTGCTTCAGATAATTTAAAGCCTCGTGTTGCCAGTAGTACTTTTAATATCCACACGGACTTTTTGTTGGCCATTGTAATAACATCTAGTGGAAGTCATTTAGATCAGAGCTTTTTGGCCACACTGCTGTGAGGGTTGGAGGTTGAGATACTGATTCTCTCAGCCTCTTGGGTGGCTGGAGGGCTCAGTGGTCACTCCTGGCCCTGTTACCCCTGTCATGCAAATACCAACATTTTCTTGATATGTTGTTAATGTGAAAAAGGCTGGGGATCTTTGAGTTACAGTACTGATTCTCTAGTTTCAGTGCACTGGGCTGATTCTTCTGGTTGCAGTTGTACTTTCAGTTCCCTGTACTCGGGGGCTTTGTTCCACATTGTCATTTGGTCAAGCAGCAAGGGTTTGTTTATCACTGGGTGGATATGCTAAAAGATAGAAGAGCTAATGTAAAAAACTTGGCATCTGCCTTCAAGAAATTTATATTTTAGTTAAGATAAAAATTGTTTATGGAACAATTAGTAAAGAACACAAAGGAATGGCTGATGAAATGCTAATTGTTGGACATGGTACTCACTATAAGAAATCAAAAAAGCTGAGATAGGGCTGGGGATTTAGCTCAGTGGTTTCGCCACCTGCTGTGCAAGCTCAAGGACCCGAGTTCAATCCCCGGTACCAAAAAAAAAAAAAAGCTGAGATCATGGAGTAGACACAGAGAAGATTTTATAAAAGAATTGAGAATTATGTCTAGTCTTACAAAATGGGTTGCATTTCACTGGGGATTTAGCTCAGTGGTTCCGCTACCTCCCTCAAAAGCGCAAGGGCCCAAGTTCGATCCCCAGTACCAAAAATAAAATAAAATAAAAAGTTACAAAATGGGTTGCATTTAGAGAAGAAATACCAAGCAGTATATTTTAGGCAAAAGGATAGGCATGAGCTTTAAAAGCTAGAATGAGCTTTTGAGGGGACAGTACAAAAACTGGTAAAGAATAAGGCTCATATTGAGGACTGATCCAACATTGAATCGATAGGTTAGGACCAATGTACAGAAGTCTTAATTGAGCAGCATAAAAATTTAGATGTCATGGGTAGTTCATAATTCAGTTTATGTTCTTAAGAAACCTCATATCCTAATAAAAACAGTATTTTATAAAAGGTATTCTTACAACAAAAAAGGAAGAAAGGGAGAGATTGCAGCTTGTGTACCAAATAGTGAGCTCTGGCAATAGTCCAGTCATACGGAAAGGGCCTGTCTTAGGTACTTTTCTTGATGCTCAGACAAAATACCCGATTCTCAAAGAAAGGTTTATTTTGGCCCTCAGTTTGTAGAAGTTCAGTCCATAATCTCCTGGCTCCAAGGTAGGGTGGCATGGCAGAGGGCATCACAGAGCAGGCAGGAGGCAGAAGCAGCCTCCCTGTGTCTTTTACCCCATCCAGCTACCTGCCTTTTGGGTGCTGCCACCTACACCCAGGGTAGGCCTTCTCATTATCCATACCCAGAACTATGCTTATCAGTGGACTGATTTAGTAATCATATACCCTTAATCCTATACCACATCCTTAATCCCAGCATCACACATCCTAGATCCAGCCAGCTCCGAAAACCCCCACCTGTGACCACATGAGGGTTGGGGAGCACATCTAGATACAGGCCGTAACAGGCCCAAAATGAACAGAAGACCTGCCTGTCTGAAGTGTTCCTTGATAGTGACGTCAATTTGAGGATGACAGGATAAAAACATTGGTTAACTTAACTGAATTTATATGATTAGAGTCACTTTAACTTAGAAGTGGAAGTTGTTCTCTTTTGTGAATATGAGAAAGGAAAAGGTCAGAGATGAAACTCTTTTACTTCCCATAACTATACCTTTTTTTTTTGCCTTTTATTTTTTTCCTCTTCAGTGCTGGGAATTGAACGGTAGGAGCTCTCTGCCATGACTGAGCTACATCCCCAGCCCTTTTTCTTTTTTCTTTTGAGATAGGCCCTCACTAAGTTGCCTGGCTTACCCTCAAACTTGTGATTCTCCTGCCTCAGGCTCCCAAGTAGCCAGGATTACAGGCAGGCACCACCTCTCTTGGCTATTTGTACCTTTGATGGTGACTGTGGACATGGAGCTAAGCATTGTCAAAAAGAATTAACAGGACTGACAGGGATCTGAGTGAGTATTATGAAATTAAAGTGATTGGTTACTTATATATATTTGTTTCTAGCCTCCTTAAACCTTATCTGAATTTAATAAATGACATTTTGCTGGAGATATCAATACTGTAGAAATATTAACTTGGAGAAAAGAAAAGTTTAAAGTTAAATCTTGATCTTGAGAATGCTGAAGACTAGAATTCAAAAAGTGTTAACATTATATATTTTAATCTCTGCTTTCCAAGTAGTTGATTTTAATCAGTTGGGATTTAATGTGTCAAAAATGTAGGAAAGGACACAATGTATATTACAAAATCCTGAGGAATAACTGAAAACATTCAAGAAAAAAATTATAAAACTTTTCATGTGGAATAAAACTCTGAAATACAAATTTTAAAAATACTAAGAAGAGAGGCAATAGAACCAGTTGACTTTCTTTAAATTAGGCTTGACTAATTTTTTAGAAATAATTGTAAATCCATGATAATATATTTATTTTATGATATATTTGATGGTTGTTCTTGGTTAAACATGGCCACCTCCTAGCATATTAAGTTTTGAAAGTTTATTTGTGATTTTTTTGGGGGGTGGTACTGGGGATTGAACGTAAGCCCTTTTTAAATTTTTTATTTAGAGATAGGTCTTGCTAAATCTAGTTGCCCAGGCAGTCCTCCTACCTCAGCCTCCCAGAGTGCTAGAATTACAGGCGTGTGCCTCTGTGCCCAGCTTATTTGTAATTTTGTATGTACTGTGTGCTCTTAGGTAAAACATTATATAAGACACTTAGTTAAAAGATGATACCAACTCTTCTTCTGGTGTTCTGAAATTTGAATAATATAGGTATGCCCCCAAGGGAACCAATATTTTTCTTCTCATATACTCAAAAACTTAATGAATTCATAGTCTTTACTACCTTACCATCTTTCTTCCTACTCTTTACCTTCCAACCTTATGGTCAGTTGAAGTAATTGTTGACACTTAAAGTAATGAGGCCTTTTATTTCTAGATATTATTGATAACTATATATGTTATCAATATATTCTTAGGAATCAAAACAGATTTACCAACCCAAAGGTAGATTAACATTTTTCTTCTGGCTTGATGAGTTCACCTTTGCAAGTCTTGTGAATTAAGCCTCTGTGGTTTTGGTACTGGGGATTGAACTCGGGACGTTGTACTTGCGAGGCAGGCAGTGGCACCACTGAGCTAAACCCCAGGCCCCTTCTGTGGTTTTGTTTCAAGAACCTAATACCTAAGATGATGGCTGGCGGGGCTGTCGCGGTGCCCGAGTGCCAGTTTCTGCCCTACACGCTACACAAGTGGAGCTCCTTCTCTTCTACCTACCTTCCCGAGAACATTTTAGTGGATAAACCAAATGACCATTCTTCAAGATGGTCTTCAGAGAGCAACTATCCTCCCCAGTACTTGATTCTAAAGCTTGAAAGGCCTGCTATAGTTCAGAAATCATATTTTGAAAATATGAGAAAACTCATGTCTGCAATTTGAAGAAATTTAAAGTCTTGGGTGGAATGAATGAAGAATATATGACAGAGCTATTGTCTAGTGGTTTAAAGAATGATAATAACAGGGACTGGGGATTTAGCTCAGTGGTTTCGCTACCTGCCTTGCAAGCGCAAGGTCCTGAGTTCGATCCCTGGTACCAAAAAAAAAAAAAAAGAATGATTATAACAAAGAAGCATTCACCTTGAAGCATAAAATTTATGAACAGATGTTTGCTTGTTGATTCATTAAGATAGTTCCACTCTTGTCTTGGGGACCCAGTTTTAACTTTAGCATCTGGTATGTTGAACTTAGTGGCATTGATGATCCTGATGTAGTACAAACATGTCTCAACTGGTACAGCAAGTACCGTGAACAGGAAGCCATTCACCTTTGGCTAAAACATTTCAGACAACACAACTATGCGGAGGCTTTTGAATCACTGCAAAAGAAAACTAATATAGCACTGGAACATCCTATGTTAACGGATCTGCACTACAGACTGGTGTTGGGTGATTTTGATGCGAAGAATTGATTGAGAAAGCTGTAAATGATGGCTTATTCAATTAGAATATCAGTCAACAGGAATATAAGCCACGATGGAGTCAGAGCATTCCCAAAAGCACCAAAGGTGATGGAGATGATAACCGACCAGGAATGAGAGTGGGCAATCAGATGGTTATTGATGTTCAGACAGAAACTGTGTATTTGTTTGGTAGCTGGGATGGAACACAGGATCTTGCTGACTTCTGGGCATACAGTGTGAAGGAGAACCAGTGCACACGTATCTCTAGAGACACTGAAAAAGAGAATGGCCCAAGTGCTACATCATGTCATAAAATGTGCATTGATATTCAGCGGAGGCAAATTTACACATTGGGACGTTATTTGGATTCCTCTGTGGGGAACAGCAAATCTCTGAAAAGTGATTTCTACCGTTATGACATTGACACAAACATACGGATGTTACTAAGTAAAGATACTGCTGCTGCTAGAGGACTGAAATTGGTGTTTGACCATCAGATGTGTATGGATTCAGAAAAACATATGATCTTCACCTTTGGTGGTAGAATTTTGACATGTAATGGCTGCGTAGATGACAGCAGAGCCAGGGAACCACAATTCTGTGGGTTGTTTGCTTTCAATTGTCAATGTCCAACCTGGAAACTTCTTCGAGAGGACCCCTGTAATGCTGGGCCTGAGGATATCCAATCTTGGATAGGACATTGCATGTTATTCCACTCAAAAAATAATGATTTTTTAATATGTATTTAGAGGCCACAGATCAAAAACCTATCTGAATGATATCTTTAGTTATGATGTGGACTCTGATCATGTAGACATAATATCAGATGGCACCAAGAAAGAGTCTGGGATGGTTCCTATGACAGAATTCACACAGAGCAGCTATTGATCCAGAACTAAATGAAATACATGTCTTATCAGGGCTCAGGAGACAAGGAAAAGAGAAAAGAGAATGTCTGAAATTCATTCTGGATTTATGACATTGTGAGGAATAGTTGGTCTTGTGTCTATAAGAATGATCAAGCTGCAAAAGATAATCCAAGTAAAAGTCTACAAGAGGAAGAACCATGTCCAAGATTTGCCCATCAGCTTGTTTATGATGAGTTAC